ATGGCAGTACTATATGAAATGATGCCCAGGATGTTTGAGCCAGTGGGATTTCATGCCTTGCCCAGGCTGGTGGTCCTTGTTGGTCATAGTTGATGCTCTGGCTGGTTTTAGAGTGTTTTGTGGCACTTTTCAGCTGGTTTAACTATACTTTGTATCTGCAATCTTTTTTGTAATGATCATTTTTACTCAGCAACATTATCTTTCTGCCCTGTTGTCATTGTGATGTAACAGATACCTGCTTTAAAGCAGAGGGTGAGTAGGCCTAATTCTCCTCATTTATTTGATTAATAAAAGCCTACTTTAAAATACAGTGTTTATAGTGCATTTTCAACGTGCTTATTGCCAAGTTTAGTGCAGCAAAACAGACTAGTTTGGCTAGTTGGAGTGTGAATATGTAGGTATACTATAGAAAAGCTAAAATGTGAATAAAATGGCGACTGACTAAATAAAGCGACTGGCTCGGTCTCCCCATAGCTCAGTTGTCAAGCTACACCCATGAATAAATGTAGTTCAACTTTAATAGTAGGCCTTCAAGAGGGACGTTTCCAAGACAGCAAATGCATTTTCAAATGCATAGTGCATAATTACCAACTGCCTATTGTTATCCGTTGCTGGAAATCCTTTTATATCAGACTGAGACTGAGCAATTTATGTTCAAACACTTATTCAGAATCTGAAGTCCATAAGTGTAATAATGTATTATAACTGTGGTTGCAATTATTAATGAGATCATACAATGCATTATCAGGTGCATTACAAATATTAATAATGCATTAGAAATACTTTTATAAGGCATTATATATATAAAGGCTTTAAGTAAAGTGTTATTCAGCCCAAAATGCTCTTGTCCTGGATACTGGTCCTGCAGTTGCTCCGGCACCAGCTGCTTCCACCAGATCCCCGACGTCTTCTTCTCCTCCTCTGTGTCCCTGTTGGGAATGGTAAGCCAATATCCAGCACCTGCCATAAATGCAAAATATGACCATGTACATATCTGAAACGCTGTTTACAAAGAGATCAGAGCCTGTTAACAATGCAATGGATCACTAAAATGAGACCAAAAGCATTAGCTACATTGTTCCAAGTTCAGCATGACAAAATAATGTGGACTTGTATGCAGTTTGTGAAAACAAACTTATGTTTTTGACAGAAATGTACTTACAAAAGAAGTCTATGGAGCAATTTTTGCAAGTTTGCCCAATAAGCATCTGTTATTCATGCAGTTAACTTGTATTTAATCTGAAAAAATGTCTTTAGTAAAATTCAGATGCACAATATTGACTGCTTGAACTATTTTTATAACTTTACATTTTTTAGGAGAATATATTTTTAGGTATACATCAAGACAAACAATACATGGAAATATAAAGAACAAGACAACACATGCTTAAAACAGATTTACAAAACATTTGAACTTTGTGAAACATTTCAAGAGATTGTGTATTTATGGACAGAATAGTGTTTTCATTGTCTGATGATCTCTTCTAGTGTAAGTTAAACTGTTCCTCTAGTCATTGTCATCAAAGAAGACCTCAGGAAACCAGAGGGGTAATTTAACACAAAACATTCTTTGCATATTGCAGAACAAAAATGTATACAGAGAGAAGTATATATACAGTATATGACTGTTAGAGATGTCCATTTCCAGCTCAGTCAGTGACTGTTTCATCTCAGACGCATCCAGATGGCCAAACAGCAGCAGAACATAAAAGCAACTCATTAGCTTCCAGCAATAGGGCTTAATCAAACCAGGGCAAAACTCAATCAACGTAAATGATCCTCTTCCCCAAAATGGAACACACAACTCATTTTAATCAAGGTGTTTCAAAACTGCCAATTAGAAACTCAAGTACTCAAACACTCCAAACACAAAATACACATCACTTTGCAAATCAGAGTAACGGAGGCCCGCTAGTAAAGAGCTGTGCAAGTAAACCTCACTCCCCTGGCCTCAAGCTTGTTTGCACGCCTGCCTCGCATGCTGGTGACGGAGGTTTGTATCCCGCTTGGAGCGGGTGCGAGTAGGGCCAGTCAAATTGGTGCCGTGACCCGGATTGGAGTGAGGTTTAGGGTGGTGAGAGCAACGGAGGCCAGCTAGTAAAGAGCTTCGAATCCCATGGAGTGGCTGCGAGTCAGTTACATTCAAAGAAAAGTAAGTGAAGCCTAAAATATTGACTGATATTTTTGTAGTATGCAGTATTTATACTGTCAAGTCAAGTCACATTTATTTATATAGCACTTTTTACAATACAGATTGTTTCAAAGCAGCTTTACAGAGATAACAGGAAAATAATGCAACAAAGTTTGTTTCCAGGAAGAAAATAGCGTCACAGTCCAGCTTAATAAGTTCAGTGATGTTTCATTTTTGTTGTAAAAAAGTTATTAATTAGTTCATTTATATATATGGCCGCTCGGGAGTAAACCATGACGTCATCGTCCAGCTCAGTTCAGTTCTCATATAATGGTGTCAATGCAGGCAGATCAATATTATTGTTGAATATTAAATTAAATGTTACATTTAATGTCCCCAACTAAGCAAGCCAAAAGCTTGTGCGCAGTATGCAGTTTTCCTGAATGCATACAGTATAATGCATACAAAAATGTGAAGTACTGTGTGTACTGTAAGTAGGCTACTGTACTTCCATGTAAGTGGTCATTTGCAGAATGAGGAACCAGTAGTTATATATCTGTTTTTGTAATGTTTCTTGAATCTTTGTTTGATCAACCTGCAAAATGTTGCCATATTAACACAAAACGAATATATCTAAATATATTTGCATCTAAATACATTACATGTTATAAAAGTAGGCATAATGCAGTATACTGCAAAATATGCAGCAGTATTCCATTCCCGATATATACCCGAACAACTTTTTTACTGCCAGTAAACAATCTGTTTTAAATTGCCTATAGTAGGCCTACTTTATTTTTGCTGTGCAAACCATACCAGTCCAACTAATGGTTTGAGTAAATGTGTGGTTTTGGCACATTGCTTTTGCAGGAGCATCTGTTTCTTTTTCTTGCCATTCTGCCTATTAGTATGACTGTCATTGTTCTCGTCCCGGCAGTGAGCTATAGTTTCTCAAGTTTTTTTTTAGGTATCTGTTCAAGGCAAGCCTGCTGTCTTCAGTGGTGTGTGGGATGATGATTTTTTATAACACAGTTATTAGTTATAACTAATTACTTCCTTATAAGGCAGATTTATTTTTAGCTGACAAAATGTATAGATGCTTACAGCACTGCAAGTTAATTTGAGTTTCTTTTCTTGTGCATGATTTTGTCTTCAGCACACATGTTGTATGTAGAAATTCTAACAGGGTGTTCGTAAGGACATTTTCTTAGTCTCTGTTCCAAACGTCAACTGACATGGACAAAGAGTTACTGGACAAGACTCCCAACAGCGAGATAAAAAAAGAGGTATTTTCACTAGATGCACAGATTCGTGGAAACATCAAGAGGCACAGAAGAGACATTCTCATCTGACCTTACCTATGACAGGCCCCCAAGGAGTCATATACTGACGCCTTTGCCAAAGCGTCTATATCCAACGCACATGGCACCCTTTAGCGTCAATATGAGACGCAGATATATGGCGCCTCCTAGTGGTCTAACCCTAACACTACCCCAGACCTAAACCTACCCATAACCGAAGCGTGTTATATTGACGCTAAAGGGTGCCATGTGCGTCGGATGTAGACGCTTTGGCAAAAGCGTCAGTATATGACGCCTTGGGATGAGAATGCGTTGGACAGGCTCACAAACGTACACTTGTTTTAAATTCTCCTGTTGTATGGGTATCATTAAAACAGAGATAGCTTAAACAGATTTACATTTCCAAGATGTGTTCCAACTGATGACAGCGTACAGAAGAGTAATTGCACAGTTGAAACTTCCCAAAAGTCTGGCACATATGTGACATGGTGACAGAGGAGTTGCTCTTGTATTATTAGTAGAACCTGCAGTGATGAAGCATCATTGCTTCTTAAACATTGGGCGTATACCATTATATGATGATGTATTAACTTCACTTGCAAAAAAAGTTCTGGAATTACCATGTTTTTGTCATTTACCATGTGACTTTCCTTATGTATTGTCACATACATGTTTGAATGTGAAGATACACATCAGTTTACTTCAGTACACTATCCTGATACATAATACATACTCTCAAATTGTAAATTATTTTATTGCCTTTTTTAATGTTACAGTTGACAGTTGTGTTTTCAAAAGATTATGCATCCTGCCAGCAGAGGGCAGGATATATATTCCCTTGTATTGTGTGTGTGTGTGTGTGTGTGATATATATATTTTATTTATTTATATAAATATAAAAGAGGATATATATAGGTTTATATAACAAGCCCTGTTATTTAATATTCAACAACGTAAAGCTTAACACTTTAAAATGATAAATACATTATCAAATTACTTAAGGTGGGTTACATTTTTCTTGTACTGTATCTAGTATCTTGTATCTAATTTTCCTCATGACATTATATTGTATAATATTATAAATTATTATATTATATTAAGTATATTGTGTTATAGCCTAATATAATATATTGTTATAAATAATTATTATTTATAATTCGATCATTTAATAATATATATATAGCTGTAGGTTAATAAATTAAAATGTTAATAATTAATCAATTAAAAGAAAAAAAAACATAAATAAATATGGGCCTATCAAATGTATGAAATATTGTATATTTTATATATGTACATTTAAAGTAGCCTTAAATCATTATAGTGGCTCACGTGTTTTACAATTTCTGAAAGATATTTTTGTGAGACTGACCTCATCTCCACCACCTCCCCCCTCCTCCATCCCACCTCTAATTGCCCATTTCTCCACGCTTTCTGCCTCTCTCTCTCTCTCTCTCTCTCTCTCTCTCTCTCTCTCTCTCTCTCTCTCTCTCTCTCTCTCTCTCTCTCTCTCTCTCTCTCTCTCTCTCTCTCTCTCTCTCTCTCTCTCTCTCTCTCTCTCTCTCTCTCTCTCTCTCTCTCTCTCTCTCTCTCTCACACACACACACACACAAACACCTGCGCAGAGCCGGTGAATCACGCCGACGCCGCTTCGCTCTCCAATCTCTCATCCATCCTGACAGTCAGATGGCCTCCATTTTAATCAGAAGACTCTCCGCAGTGGAAATAGGATTCATTGCCATCATCTGCAGCACGAGATTGCGTTTCGATTAATATTTCACAAGTTCCTTCATGCTCTGTGTGGATTGGCTGACTCTCTTTTGTCTCCTGGAGGTGAAATGATGCTCGAGTGATGCTGCGTCTCTGTTCCCACCCGCTGCTGAACAACATCACCAACATCGTCATCACCATCGCCGGTATGAGTCTGATCGAGGAGCCCAACATCACACATTAGGACTAACAAACCCGCAGATCTCAAGTAGCCTATTTAAAACGCGGAAGTTAATATTCTGGAGAAAGCCTCAGTGGCAGGTAGGGTTAGTTGTACGGTACTACGTATGCTGGTTAATGTTCGTTTGTTGATCAAGACATGCTATTAGTTCAACGCCAGTAAATGTGCATGCGTTATATGATTATTTTTCGTTTACGTGACTGCATGATTGCTTATAAGTATTAAATGTACGCAACAAGAAAAACAAGAAAAAACACATAACAAGAAAACATTTAAGTATATGAGTTTGAAAGGAAATGTTATAAATGCATCAATGAAATTGTTGTTGTTATAAAAAATAATTTAAATATAAGGACATGCTATAGAGATTTAAAATTACTTACAATAAAACACGTGTAATAATATCACATTTGTACTATACAAATGTGTAACAATAGTGATCTACAAGATTTAAAAATATATTAAAAAAAAAAATATACAGTCGGTCTTATTGTTATGCACATACACAAATAGCATTGTCTGGTGGTCTTTACAATTCAGTTTCAAAAAGCTTTGTGTGTTTGCACTGATTTATGTTCCAGTGATGCTGTAATAGTCATATAAACAGCAGGCTTTAGTGAGCCTGAGGTCTCCCAGGCAAGCATAGGCCACTGGTTGTGTGTGTGTGTGTGTGTGTGTTTTCATGTGCGTGTAATTGCAGCTTTTTATCACATCAGACACTTTTCTCCCAAAAGACCAAAATTAGAAAACATGACAATCCCACTTTCCATCAGGACTGTGAATAAACCACCCACACAAACAGACAGAAAAACAGAGACAAACACAAATACACAGATATACCATTTTACTAACAACTTTTTTGTTTAATTATACACTATTATATAGGCCCAGCAAGGTATATATCTGACAATAAGTTACTATTTTACTGTTGTGCACATACACACACACAGCCAGTTTGTTCCCAATGATGGTCATTTGTGCTACCTGCTCCATTCAGACTAATTCAAGTATTATCGATTTCTTTGTGTGTGTGTGTGTGTGTGTGTGTGTGTGTGTGCCCTAGCTGAGCCCTGCAAATCCTTAAATATGGCAGTCTAAGATATCCAGTCTCTATTGACAATAATCCGTCTCTGTAACATTACTAGAGTTTTGTGTTTTGAACACATGAGCACATCTCCACGCAGATCCGTCAATCTGTGAAAGATTCATGAGTCTATATATGGCCCAGACCAAAAAGGCAGATCATGATCCATCCTCGAGTAGGCGTGATTACTACTGCCAGACTATCAGAGCTAAATATAGAGCCTCGCCGGACTTCGCACCCTAACACCCTGTGTAAACACAGCAAACAGGATCAGACTCAGTCAGACAGATGTTACTGCTACTGTGGAGATGATGCAGCAGTGAAATATGGCATTGTAGATGAATCGATAGTGCAGGATGTTGGATATACTGTATGTGCAATGACAGCAAAAAGGTGGTTTTCAGCGCAGGTCACGTCACTCTTAAATAGATTGCTGCAGGGATGACGTATTTTTGTAGGCCAAAACACGGAAACAAGTTAGCATTGTAGCACTTCTGGTTCCATCGGTTCCAAGCTTAATATGCTTTTACGTTTTATTCCATGACATAAAATACATCAGTAATGGGACTAGGCTGTCAGGGATATATCATCACACCGAACTGGTGAACTCATCTACTCACTAGTCCACTTTTACAGCTTTGTTGTGTTTATAATCATGCATTTGCAAACTATTCTAACTCAAAATTTCAGGGATTTATTTATTTTTTTAAATTGAAGACGGAAAGAGTTGTTGGAAGCTTAAAGGTACGGTCGGGTGTTTTCGGAGAGGCTAGCAATAGTGAGCTAGCTTTAAAGATCCCGCCCTCCTTTCAAAACACATGATCTCGTACAGCAGGGAGCAAACAAAAGCGTCACGAGAGACAGCGCTAACCTCATGTCTCAAAGCACATTACATTACAATAATAATGAACATTAACAACTTAAAGAGCTCTGACCTGTATCACCTGACTGCTGCAGATTCATTTCGGCATTGATAGTGTTGCCATTGAAACATAAATTCGAGTCACGAATCGCTTCGAGTATAACGTCACAGGGTTTCCATCTCTTCCAAATGGTGTGAACGCAGCATAAGCTGGTTGCTTTGCTTCAGGAGGAACAGTAAAAGGAGGCTGTGGTTTCTGTTGCGGTGCTCAGTGACTGACGTCTGTCTAACTCTGCAGCGCATGAAACACACTGATGACGTGTGACGTCTGCGTGAGCAGGTGTGCAGAGGTATATAGAATACATATATTCTATCTATCTACCAGCAGCCATATCACCCTGTAGCCCAAGACTGGTTGCCCACTGAAGCTAAGCAGGGCTGAGCCTGGTTAGTACCTGGATGGGAGACCTTCTGAGAAAACCAGGTTGCTGCTGGAAGAGGTGTTAGTGAGGCCAGCAGGGGGTGCTCACCCTGTGGCCTGTGTGGGTCCTAATGCCCCAGTATAGTGACGGGGACACTATACTGTCAAAGAGCACCGTCCTTCGGATGAGACGTTAAACCGAGGTCCTGACTCTCTGTGGTCATTAAAAATCCCAGGATGTCTTTCGAAAGAGTAGGGGTGTAACCCCGGCATCCTGGCCAAATTGCCTGTCCTAATAATCCCCATATATATATATACACTGATTGGCTTCATCACTCTGTCTCCTCTCCACCTGTAAGCTGGTGTGTGGTGAGCGTTCTGGCGCACTATGGCTGCCGTCGCATCATCCAAGTGGATGCTGCACATAGGCAGGACATCGTACCATTGCCGAATTCAATGATTGGACGAACATTTTACGTTCTTACTCCTTCAACAGACAATATACATATAAATGCATTTAGACCACTTAGATTAGTGATTGCTATCAGGATGTGAAGAGGCTTTCAAATGAACAAAACATTTGAAGGTGAATGAAATTTTTAAGAATCTTCTGCTATAACCCAAACGCCAATGTCCTATTTGTTTTTTAGGAGTGAACCAGGGTGATGCTAACGTCCTATTTGTAGCACTCTATAAGTTAAGGCTGATTGTGTGATTTCTGAGCCAGTCGCTTTGCAAAAATAATAACTGTTTTCAAACAGGTTTCCTGAACACTCGCCCCATCTACCATGGGACAAGCAGACATAGGTTGAGACTGTTAAGATGGTCAGGGTGCTTTAAAACAGAGTTACTAATGCTTTGATAGCGGCCACAAAGACAAAAGCAAAAATCTTTGTTTAAGGTAATGCAACTATAATGAAAATCTATGGGACAGTGCATCAGGAAAAATGTTAAAATGCACAGTTTTGCAACAGGATTAGTATGATAAAATCACTTACTAGCATTGTCTTTTCAATGTAACATCTCCTTTTCTCCTGTCTTGACCATTTCAAGGCATTGAATTCTTCATTATACGCACAAAAATACTAGAAGTGGACTGTTTACCACCTACCAGAATTCGCCTCGATTAGTCATCCTACTGCTAAAAGGACAATTTAGACAGCTTTATAGATTGTACAGCACTTTTGGAAAAAAATGATATTTATTTTCACAAATAAATCACAGACTGCTAATTTATCGACTATCTTGCCCCATAGAATTACATTGAAAATGCATTACTGTAAACATAATGAAACAAATCAAATTGTTGCCTGTGGTAATCAACAGCATCTTTGGCAACGATCTTAACTGGTTTTGAACCTCAATCAGTCCGTTATTTGTACTTGGCTGAGTTTCTTATAAGGATCGTAAGCCTAAGTAGATCATAGAGACAGTTGGTGACAATGCGGGGAAAGCAGACCTGTATGTTTAGAATTACATGGACAGTCTCCTGTTTCTGGGTGGATTTGTATTTGTGTGGGCATTAGAGCTTATGTTTTATTGTGGATTAAATGCAACGCAAAGCTAGCCTAAATCTTCTTGCTTCCTTTATGATCACTTGCTTGTTTAGCTATTTTATAGCTGTTGAATTTGGACGTTCATTTAAGTCAAGTTAGATTCATATTTAAGTCTGCTTCTTGGGTTTGTGTGTTTTGGTAGAGCCCTTCTGATAACAGATCAGATGTTTGACTGTGTATTAAAACTGCCTCCAACAGCATGTTTGATGTGGAAAATGTTTTTCTTAAAAGGTTGAATTGCATGAAGTCACCAATGTAATCTAGTTAATTTCCGCCTGTTAATTGGGTGCTTAATGCATAATGGGGGAAGTGAATGAAAGGCTAGGGTCAAATTAACATTAAGCAATAATCAGCTGTAAAATAAAGCTGTTATTCTCTTGGTGGGAGCAAATTACTTCAAAATCTAGAGAATGTCTTGAGAGAATGTTATAAAACTTTCAGCCCATTGGTAAAATGTGTTAATTAGGTCTATTTTGGTTTTATCAGTGTCTGTCTCTCTGTCTTTTTTGCAGAAATAATACATAGGCACAAATGAAACTCTTCAACTGATTATAAGGAACTGAGGAACATTGTTACCACACACACACACACACGCACACATTGACTTATTATTTAACACACACACACACACACACACAATGGCACTGGACAACACCGCCTTCTCCTCGTGCCCCGAATCCCTGTCCCTCCCAGTTCCAGAGAAAGGGGAGGAGCCTGTGGAGGAGGCCCCAAAGGATGCTCCGCCCACTGATGTGCAGAACGCATCTGAGGAGCTGGGAAATGTGGTAACCACGGAGATGGCCCCTCCCACACAGCCATCATCCAATAACAAAATGACCTTCCAGGCCAAGATGGCTGCAAGGGAGGCGCAGGCCAATCAGCCGCAGAAGAAGGTTCAGGGGTCGGGGCAAGAGTGGAGCAAGTTTGGATGGGGTAAGGACTCAATCATTAGATGCTGTAGGAGTGCAGTTGGTGGTTGTCAAAGAGTTTTGTTCTCTATACATGCATGATGAAACAGACAGAGCTACTCTAACACCTCTACAGGAACAGCATGTCGGTGTTCTTCCACTTGTTCATTTAGACATTTTTTTTTTTTTTTTACTTTTTGGATGTCTTACTTTTCGGATCTATTTTAAAAAATGGATTGCGGTAAGCTGCAAACAGTGTTTGCCTACTTTTTGTGTCCTTTTTTTACTCACTGTCACTTGCTCCAATTTCTCTCTCTTTCTCGCTGTCTCTCCAGCACGCAACAAGCGTAAGAGGCAGCGCTATGTGGAGAAGAACGGCCGCTGTAATGTGCAGCACGGTAACATGCGCGAGACCTACCGCTACCTGACGGATATCTTCACCACCCTGGTGGATCTGAACTGGCGCTGCTCTCTGTTTGTCTTCGTCATGGCGTATGCAGTGACCTGGCTCTTCTTTGGAGCAATATGGTACCTCATTGCATACTGCAGGTATGAATAACACACACAAACACACATTTTTATACCTTTTAAATCCTAAGGGGCCATTCACACAGAACGCATTTTTTCCATTCCACTGCGCTTCTTTTCCATTGTTTTTCAATGTAAACACGTGCTAGATGGATGTCTTTAACCATTGCGCTTGTGTCCTACATATTTATGTACTTAATCTAAATACCCTGCAGTTGTACTTATTGTATACTAAATTGATATACTTAAAGTCTGCTAAATTGGAACAACTAACAATGTACTTAGTTATCCAAAAGTAGTGCTGAGGTTTAACTAAAGATATACTTATGTATCTTTATATATATATTTGATTGTGCTAAAGTGGAACTATTGCAAGTATACTTTAAATACACTTTTAATATCTTGCATTTAAAGACTGATATTATACAGAGATCATACTATCCTTACTAATAGTGATATTAAGACACATTTATGGCATAATATTAAGAAATGTGCATTGTGCAATAAGGAAGTACTCCAAATAAGGTTTGATTATAATATTTATATCAGTAAGTCTCAAGCGATGTCAGTAAAAATTTTAATAGATTTTAAATACATTTTGGTATACGTTTTTCTCTCTAGAGTAGACCTTGCACTCTTTTTCTTACCACTGACCTACGTCTCACGTTTTTAACCACAAAAACACGTTCTGTGTTAAGCTGGCCTAAGACTCTTCTTAAGACAACAGACAGATTTATTATACTGGCCATCATATCAGGTCAGCGTTGTTACCGTTAACTAAAAATAAAAAATATTTTCATTAATAAAAAAAAAAAAAGCTGAAACAAAACCACATAACAAAATGACTAACACTAAAATTGAAATGAAAACCAAATAAATAAATAAAAAGCTAATTCAAAATATAAACAAAAACGATAAATAATTTAAAAATAATGCTGTAAGGTAGCAACCAAAATTTAAAAATGAATATCGTTTTTTGATATCGGCAAAAATAAATGAATTCTTCCCTGACATAGGCTTCTCAATCAAGTGTTTGTATATCAACATTCAATGTACTGCTCACGTATCATGTGCATTTGTGTTGTCCACGCACTGTCACGTTCATCCACACTTGATATGAACACAAGTAATGTGTGTGGGTGGACACTTGAGAACAAGCGCTTCTCCTTGTGCTGTAAGATGCAAGAGCCAATTTACTAAAAGAGACTGTGATTTAAAAAAAGCCAAGGACACATTTTCATAAACAAAACATCTCCTTCGCTCGCAATCCCTTTCTCTTTCTTATGGCAGGGGTGATCTGGATCATTTGGAGGATGAGGCATGGACTCCATGTGTCAATAATGTTAATGGATTCATCTCTGCGTTCCTTTTCTCCATTGAAACGGAGACGACCATTGGCTACGGATACCGTGTCATCACTGACCAGTGTCCAGTGGGCACCATGTTACTCCTGCTACAGGCCATCCTGGGATCTATGGTCAATGCATTCATGGTAAGAACAAAATACATGTTTTTTTTTTGGTATAAAATCAATATTTTGTCTATTTTATAAACATTTTAATGCTGATTCTGATTTTTATAAATATATATATATAAAGATTAGTGTTTTGTTCTTCCCTCATATTTAAAATATTTTCCTCATATTTTGATAGTTTAATTGAACATTAAAAATATAAATAAATAAAAAAACTAAAATATGCTAAATATACCCTCCAGAGGATATTACATATACTGTAAGTGTGTATATACTATTTGGACTCTTTTTGTAGAAAGTCCAACTTGATTCCCATGCTTGATGTGTTCTGAGGAGTGTTTTTTCAGCGCACATGGCTTTCGTTTGTTGATCTGTGCTCTACTGAGTTATATCATCCATAACCAAGAGCAAATGAGTCATGCGTTTTGGACGACAGATGTGTGTACCCTATCCCTCTGTTTCTGTCTTTTCTCCTTTTCTAATTCTGTCTCTTTTGCCAATTTCATTCCCCTTCTCAGTCTCTTTTCTGGCCTAATTTTATGTGTTTTTTGCGGCTGTGATGAGTTCATTTATATCTCTAATGTCCTGGTTTAAATGTTGCCCCCAGGGGCTGTTTCTCACACACGCACACACGCGCACGCACGCACACACACACACACACACACACACACACACACACACACACACACACACACACACACACACACACACACACACACACACACACACACACACACACACACACACACACACACACACACACACACACACACACACACACACACACACACACACACACACACACTCTCTCTGTCCAAATGCCAAGTCCTAGTATCTGCATTCCTGAACTCAGAATAAACTTTTGTTCTTATGTCTCACTTTCTTTTAATTAGTGGGGTATTTTGCGAAGACTTGCATTACTACAACGATTGCTCATATTTGGGATTACAGAGTTGTTCCGTAGCATGGAATTTAAGCACATAATTCATTCCCCTCCCTTATAGTGCTACAGATATAAATGATACCTCAAATTATGGGTGACCAGGTTTTTACAAATTGTGGGTGACCAGGTTTTTACTTGCCACATGATAAAATGGCAAAAAAAAATCCCATAGGTTTAGTAACTTTTGACTTCGTCCATTAAGAAACCATCTAGCTTAAATCGTAACAATACCCTAGTAACCACCTACAACATCTTTGCTGCATGATTTTTTGCAATATAATAAGAACATTATATAGTAATATATACTCACACATTATATAACATTATATTGTTAAAAAACATGTTCATCTTAGCGTTGTGGCTGGATTCTTTTGGACAGACTAAAACTAAAATTATATTTTAAAAAATGATTTACATAAATGTAAATATTAGGTTAAAAACTTAAACTAAAAAAACTACTTAAATGAAAATTAGAAACTTTGCCTTGGCAGCTGACTGAAATATTAAAGGGATACTCCACTTTTTTTGGAAATAGGCTCATTTTACAACTCCCCCAGAGTTAAACTGTTGAGTTTTACCGTTTTTGAATCCATTCAGCCGATCTCTGTTTCTGGCGGTACCACTTTTAGCATAGCTTAGCATACATCATTGAAGTGGAGAAGACCATTAGCATTTCTAAAAAAAAAAATTACCAAAGAGTTTCGATATTTTTCCTATTTAAAACTTGACTATACTCTCATTCCTGCATAATAATCAAGAAACTTTACTGCCGTACCATGAGAGCAGCAGGCGTAATGATATGACGCAGCGCCTGAAAATAGGCTACCTTCCGTCAACACAACGGAACTATTTTCAGGCGCTGCGTCATATCATTACGCCTGCTGCTCTCATGGTACGGCAGTGAAGTTTCTTGATTATTACGCAGGAATGAGAGTATAGTTCCTAGCCATATCAGCCTAGAAAATCGCAACTTTACATTTTCCGTCGGTCTTAGTGCACGATGTAACTACAGAAGAGTCAAGTTTTAAATAGGAAAAATATCGAAACTCTTTGGTCATTTTTTTTTTTAGAAATGCTAATGGTCTTGTACACTTCAATGATGTATGCTAAGCTATGCTAAAAGTGGTACCCCCAGAACCGGAGTTTGGCTGAATGGATTCAAAAACGGTAAAACTCAACAGTTTAACTCTGGGGGAGTTGTAAAATGAGCCTATTTCCAAAAAAGTGGAGTATCCCTTTAAGTTGAATCTGAAGTAGAAAAAAAATACGTTTTTAGAAAAAAAGTAAAAACTAATAAAAATATAAAAAATATCATCACATAACAAAATCACTAGAACTTAAAAAAAATTATTATAGTGAAATTATAAAAATTAAAGCTCAATTTAAATATTAATAAATACTATAAGTAAGGGATAATCCACGGTTAGCTGTACATTTAACAATTTTGCACGACGTGGGTAAAATAAACGGCCGACGCGACTTGGAGTCCATTCAAATGGTTTAATGCACAGCTAGCCATGGATTATACTTCTTATTATCATGGTCTTTTGCCAGCATTGACAAGTTAAACCTGTTATTGATGTTTGCTGCACTTAATTTGATTGGAGGGGATAAAATTTTGGTTCTTTCATCAATTACGGCTCATTAGATCTAGCATTCTGTCAGAATCTCAGACACAGAGATAAAGTAGTGCAGCAAGGTTACATAATTGAAGTATAACATTTATTTGAATGAATTAGCCTATTAAGAAAGAGATGCGTGTGTGTATTACCTGCATCTGTGCAGTGTCTCTCTATTAGCAATGAAGCTGTGAGTTTAACTAATTCAAAAACAGCAACGTTACAACCTCCTTGCTGAATAATATAATGTAGCAATTCAGTATCAAAGTTAATTTAATAATAAAAGTAGCGGGGCAGTGTTGACAACAAGTTTTTGTGCTCCTGTTTTTGTGTGTCTGCGCGATCTCCGATCTCTGTGCAAGTGACACAGGGTGCGTCTCAATCACCTCCCTAGTTCAGAAGTCAGGGCACTGATCAGGGAATCGGCCATTTTAAGGGCTGTCTCAATCACAAAATCCTTCCAGGGCACTGAAACCTTCACTCCCTTAAAACTCCCACAATGCACCGTAAAAAACAGGGAGCATCGATGCTCATTATGTTCCCTAAATGGAAGTTCTTAAGTGCGAAACTTAAATCATGTGAGCCAACTCACTACACATAATGACACGCAATAGATGTTTTTTAAAGAGGTGGTATAATGCCCTTTTCACAAGATGTAAAATAAATCTTTGATGCCCCCAGAGTGTGTATGTGAAGTTTTAGCTCAAAATAACACACAGATATTTGTATATAGCATGTTAAAATTGTCACATTTTGAGGGTGAGCAAAAATCCACAGTTTTTGTGTCTGTCCCTTTAAATGCAAATGAGCTGCTGCTCCTGGCACAGAGGGCGGAGCTACAACAGCTTGTGTGCTTTTACCTCACACACATGCACTGAAAATTTTAAAAACTTTTAGCTTTTTATGTTCAAACCGGAGTCAGACAAAGATGGAGAGACTCAAGAAGAAGTGACAACATGTAGAATGCAACAGGACATTTCTGAATGGTTAGTTGATGGATTTATGTAGCTTATGTGTAGTTATCTTCTAGTCATTGATTAGCATATTCTGTCATGATAATCTATAAATCACGTTCCCGGGGGAGGGGTTTATGTCAATTTTAGGGTTCGTGATGTCACTTACCCGGGAGGAATGTCGTGTAGTCCCTACCAGCCGTTTGTTGTAGTCCTTAAAAAACGATTTCTGTAAAAGAAAATATCTCCCTTTGCTTTGAACTTTGAGCGTCGTAACTTTGCAGATGTTGTTTATGCTCAAACAGCAAAATTAGACACTAACTAAAGTTAGAAAAGTGAAATCATACTCAACCACCCCTTTAAAATACAAACCATTATTTAAACATATCACTAGACCGGTAATGAACTAGCCTGGTTAAAACCAGACCATTCTCAGTTGTAACTCAGTTATGGTCTGGCAAAGCGTCATAGACAAATCATTTCCAGAGGGGCGTCACCAACGGACGTCGCGGATAGACCTAAACCCGAATCAGAGCGATGAAGGAGATGACGTATGCAGAGCGGCGGAGAAACATCTCCGAGTGTTGTTCTTTGCTCGGTTTTTAACAAAAAGGAAACGTTCAAATCGCTTAAAACAGACGCGATAGCTGATTCGAACGAGTGATGTTCGACGGCGGCATCCATCTTTGTAATGTAGGCTAAAATCTGCTTCAAAATCCCAGCGCTGTCGTCATCGTGTAAAGCCCGCCCCAACGTTTCTGATTGGTGCCTCGATTTCGACGGATTGGAAATGGGCTTGAATGAGCCTCTTTACCAGACTAACTTTCAGAGCAAATCTAAATTTGCCGGAAGTTGTCTGGGTTTTCCCAGGCTGGTAATGAACATAATCTAGCTAACATTTATAATTTATTTACTGCTGAAATGTTGCACGTGTATGTAACAAGCAAAGTATGTATCATAATGTACTTTAAATAACATTAAAACATAATGTCAGCTCTGCTGACGTTCATAAATACCAGTAGTGATGTTGTACACTGAGGACGTTGTCATGTCGCCGGAAATAATGTCATCAGTGTCCCAATGTTTAGTGAGCCGGTGCCCTGTCCCTGTACTGTCCTTACCAGTGCCCGAATTCGTGAACACGATATACTGATTCACAACCTAGGGAGCTGATTGAGATGCACCCATAATGTGTGTGTGTGTTTCAATGAAAGCAGCGCATCATTATAGATCGCACGCCTTATTGCACACCTTCCAGCCAATTAGAATAGAGTATTCAGACAGACCATGGTATAATAGTATATAAATGACTCTGAGAATAACACTGAGCACCGCTTACATTTTCTAAAATGTAAAAACAACATCATTTTCTTCCTTTTTCTCGCTCTCTCACTAGGTTGGTTGTATGTTTGTGAAGATCTCCCAGCCGAATAAGCGTGCCGAGACATTGGTGTTCTCTCGTAATGCTGTCATCTCACTGCGGGATGACAAGCTCTGTTTGATGTTCCGCGTCGGGGACTTGAGATCCTCCCACATTGTGGGCGCTAACATGAGAGCCAAACTTATCAAATCCAAACAGACACAAGAGGGTAAGTCAGCATTCAACACCTTCATCTGCGCCCTCACATAGACCTAGTTAATTGGTGATGAAGTGGCGCCACCTGGTGGTTATATTGTACAATGAGTGTGTTATGATTTCTTTTTTTAACCGGTTACTTCTCTTTCTCTTTAGGTGAGTTCATTCCACTGGATCAGACGGATATCAGTGTAGGTTTCGAGACGGGAGACGATCGTCTCTTCCTGGTGTCTCCACTGGTGATCTCTCACGAGATCGATGTTCGCTCTCCGTTCTGGGACATGTCACATGCTCAGCTGGAGAAAGAGGACTTTGAGGTTGTTGTCATCTTGGAGGGGATGGTGGAAGCTACAGGTGCATACATACTAAATATATCATGTAAAATGAGTTGTATTGATTTGTGTTTAGTAATCGCTGGACATATTCTGATCTACAGGTATGACCTGTCAGGCACGGAGCTCCTACTTGGCTGAAGAGCTCTTATGGGGTCACAGGTTTAGTCCCATGATGACGCTAGCCGAGGGATTCTTCGATGTGGATTATGGGGCCTTTCACCACACGTTTGAGGTATGTGGCGTACAATCGGATTTTCTGATTGGTTAATTGCAGTTCTGTGGTCAAATATTTGTATATACTCTTTTAAAAATAAAGCTTCATTATTGGCATCTATGGTTCCACGAAGAACCTTTACCATCCATGGAACCTTTTTGATACACAAAAGGGTCTTTATAGTGGCTCTTTAGTTCAGACTATAGTTGCTACGTACAGACTGCAGGCATAAGTGGCCCAAACCGTATTTTTTTTTTTCAGATCTGCTTTTTTCATAACATTGTGAACAGCACAAACCACATGGAATCTGATCTTCGCAATTCTGACTGTCCTAAATTAGATACAGGATGTTTTGCAATGCGACCTCGGTACGAACAGTAATATCAGAATTCATGGCATGCGACTTTAACATCACTCTAGTCTAGATCAACGTTCGTCACTCCAAAGATTTTAAAAACCGGCAGTTCTTTGGTCACTCTGTGAATATGGAAGGACGGCGTTGAATAAGCTAGTCAGTGAGGCATAATGAGCTGATATAATCATAAGTATTACAGTGACAGTTCTATACTAGCAAATCTTGAGGAAAAAGTGTATGAGAAAAACTTTCTTCTCTTTCTCCTCAAGATGTTTTTTTGCAGTGATTTGCTACATTCTTAAGGCCATTGCACACTGAAGTCCGAAATTTTTGCATGCGTTTTTCGTATTCGTGATTCGGTGGCTCTGAATTGTCAAAACACCATTCAAACTCCATTCAAACTGCTTGCTACGGATGCGAAAAACGCAGAAAATCGAACCCGATCCGATTTTTTTAATCACGGACGAAAGTTTCGGAGGCAGTGTGCAAGCGTGAGGACTTAACGTGAGGTCGAATTTTTTTTTTTTTTTTTTACGTGCGAAAATTTCGGATGCGAATTTAGGACTCAGTGTGCAATGGCCTTTAGGCTAACTCAAATCAATATTTAATTTGCATTAATTTATTCATTTGTATTTATTCATAAAAAGACAATCACCATATGTATGTCTGATTTTGCATAATCTCTCATAGTTTTTACCTAAATCCCTTACAAAGTTTTCAACTTAATGTTATGTCTATAGGCTCTATAATAAACATCTTTCTGTGCAAGGCTGACCTGCACTTTATTATAGAGCAGAATCAGAGATTTCGAAATACAATTCTGATTGAAAATTGCTTTAGGTGTTGCTGTAGTTCTGGAGGAGTCATGAATGTACATCGCAGGGAAAAGAAATCGAACTACTTACGCAATCACATTCTTATTTTCTATCCTTCAGCCAAACAGCACTTTTGTATAAATGCTACAAAGAGTTTAAAAAAAATATTATATTTTTAGATATTTCGTTAATATTTAATTGTATTTATTTAATATTTACATTTAGATCATGTATGTGGGATAAAATGTGTTTGTGTGAAATACAAAATACTTGTAAAATGTATGCAAACAGACAGATGCAATCAAATTTAGCAGGATTGATCTGTTTTAGCTGTCGTTCACAGTATGAGGATCTTGATAAATGACCTTGTACCTCTAGTATTAAGTACACTAAAGCCGGGTGTACACTGTACGATTTATATAATAGTCCTTTTTGATTGTTGCTTGTCAGACTGTACGAACATGATCCTCGCTGTAAGCCGTGTCACACTGTGGGATCTCAGTTGTCATTAATGTCAGACCGCACGGCAGTCAAGACACGTTAAAAACACACGCGCGCAAGAAGACCCGTCCAGAGTTTCGCATTATCGGTCCATGACACGTTCAGTGACGTGAGCTGCATTTACATGCGGGATAGAAATATTGGCTATCAAACATAAACAATCTCTACCATCTTGGCTTCTCTTGAAAAGAAAACTAAGAAGACGGTGTGTGTGGAGCAAGTGGTGGTTTTTTGTTGTCTCACTAATTGCGTCATCAGGTTCTGTGCTCCTATTAGTTTTTGATTTGACTGTTGTCGTAGGCGAAGCCACACTATAGGACTGCGCGTCAAATCTTCTGACACTTCCAGAATTTCGCCAGAGGTAAAATTTGATCACGACGGTCATTAATCGGCTGTCGGCGAACATGTCAAACTAACGATCAAAGACTTCAGATTTTGGCCTTGGATCCGAGAAATCTTTTATGGCCAAAATTTGGCCAAAATCGCACAGTGTGAACAACCCTGCTTTACTAAAGTTGTTCGTATTCATTATCTTTCAAAGGTGGACACGCCCTCCTGTTCGGCGAGAGAGCTGGCGTTGGCTGCCGCCCGTTTGGATGCTCATCTCTATTGGTCGATCTCCAGTCGGCTTGATGAAGAGAAATGGGAGGATCCTAATGTGACTGAACCGACGGGGAAGTCCACGGATTCAGAATCTATCATAGAGGGAGACAGGCCAACATTTACTGTTGGCGGAGTTACACACACCCAGGACCAATCCGTTGTAGGGGAGCAGAACGGCAGTGTCGCCACTGACCAATCAGAGTCTGAGGCTTAAAAGGATGCAAGAATGTGAAAGGTACGGAAAATGTTCGAAGAAGTCCACAGTTTGTGTAAATTTAACTTTAGACTGGGTTGTCCGGCGATCCAAGCCTTCTACTTCGAGTTAGATTTTGAACTGTATAGTCGCTAATGCCTAGCATAGAATACTTTCCCCAAGGGGGAAATCCTAGCATCTCCTTGCTGTGTTTTCAGTCAGATTTAATCTTACCCTCTGATGTTTTATGACAACACTGCCTTTGAATTCACGCCGTAGCTCTGTTTCCAACTCTAGTGAGCAGCCTCGCTGTCTTTTGTGTTCACACCCAAGCGATTTTCGCTGACGATGAGCCGAGTGGACATGAAAATTCATTCCCTGACATTAGATGGCGCCCATTTGCTCTGCAATACCACTCCATAACATTCTCTTTTATTAAGATTTAGATGTAGTCGCTGTCGCGTTTGTCATATAGTTCTTTATGTTCCGACAGCAACGAGACCAGCAGCTCTATTCATCTTGCCTTGCATCTTCCTCGTCTTATTTCTTCCCGGCAGTGTAGATGCTACTTGACGTATATCTTCTTCACCGTTACGTATGTGTGCTCGGCAAGACCGTTTTGTGTTTGAGCGCCCACAAGTTGTGTTTTACTGTAACTTCAGAAGCTCCAGACACATGAGCAAAAGCGCCAATCTCATTGGTCGGATAGTTCTTGACGCGGCGCGTCAAACTAAAGAAACGAACCCGAGGCGTTTTTAAAAAAATGACGCTTTTACGCGTGGCGTTTTTCACGTCGGTGTGCACACTCACATTGTCGCCCTTTGTTTAGTCACGAGGCGTTAAACGTCGGCAAATATCGCGCGCGAAATTCGTCCCGGTGTGAACAGGCCTTAACGTTACTTTCTAAGGCATCATCCTAACTGAAGCGTGCAGTGTTGTCATAAAATGCGGCCAAAACGAGGCATCCTTATTGATGTCTTGGTAGGCAACTCACTAGGTTTTGGAACTGTGCTAACATGTCTGATTTGTATTAGTATCAATCATTTAACAGTCTTAAACATTTCCACTGCTTTTCTTTCATAAATGTTCAGGCAGTGCAGTTCTGAGGTACGAAACGCTACTATTTTTAAAACCATCATTTAGAGCAAGTCTGTGCAAGTTGTTTACAGTCACGTTGGATAGAGTCACATGTACCTGAAAAAGAAGTGAACATGTTACTATGGAGACAATAGCCTGCATTCCAATTTGCAACATCACAGCAGAGTTTAGCGTTAGCTTTTTTAAGAGTCAGCCGGTGGTAAATTTAGCACACTCTCATGACTGCCAACCAGAGTTTAGCCGTTGGGTTTTTACCCATGGCGTCATGCGAGTGGATCTAGGCGATAAATAGATTAAACGGAGATATTGGATGCTATTAGGCCACTGCATCATTTCAACATCCTAATTAAATCGATGTAGAAATTAGCATCATCCTGTGATTGATCAGCTGTTGCCACCAAATGCGACTGAATTCAAATGCATTGCTGTTCTTTGTATTTGTTTTTTATTTTATTCAAACGTGTCCATAGCAACAAATAACTCTTTGCTCAGTTTTACTGCAGCAGTTGAGATGAGTGAGAGAAAGTGAGAATTTTTAAAGTGGGCATTAAATGGAAGAAATTAGTTAGTGAATATTTCACACATCAACAGGCCATTTTAACATGTTAACTATATTAGATATAATGCAACAAGGGGCGTCTTCAATCAGCTGGTTCAAATGTCTTCTCATGCTGGTTTAGACTGGTTTATAGGTGGTCTTTTTGGTGAAGCTGGTTGACCATGGAAGTCTTGCTGGTTAAGTTAGTCAAAACATAAGCTATTTGAGTTAGTAATTCTCCACATTTTCCATATGCATATGCAGGGTTAGTTCACCCTAAAATGAAAATTAAGTCATAATTTACACACCCTGGAGTTGTTCTAATGCTGTATGTATTTATGTTTCTTTAATGGACCACAAAAAATGCACTGCTCGTGTTCATCCATATAATGGCAGACCAGCATTAAGCTTTTTAAAAAAAGATGCAAAAGTATCACAGAATGATCCAAGTTTTCTTGGGGTATACGATAGGGTTTGGTGAAAAACAAACCAAAATTGAATCTATTATTTAATGAAATTCTTGACCTTGGCCTTTGGTCTTATTTTCTTACATTTTGAGACTGTATTAGCGCCACAGTTCACTCCGTCTCGCCCAGAAAAAGCACACAAGTTGTAAGAAATTAATATTGAAAAACAAAAAACAAAAAGGCACTCATCGCATGGGATCATTCTGTGATACTTTTGAGTCTTTTTTTAAAAAAGCTTGTTGCTATTAATTGCTATTTTATGTACGAACACGATCAGGAATTTTTTTTTTTTTAATTCTGCTTTTGTGCTCCATAAAATAAAGAAGGGCACACAGCATTAGAACAACACCAGGGTGAGTAAATCATGACTTAATTTTCAAGTCAAACTATCCCTTTAAAAATAAAGGTTCCAAAAGGTTTTTTTTTCTTTGCAGAGATGCCATAGTGAAGAACCATTTTTGGTTACCCAAAAAGTGATCAGTTGACATAAATAAGGAAACCCGTTAAATAAACTTAATGCGTAATTGAAAAAATTAGGTTATGTGGAATTGTCAAGTTAACTTAATTTTTTCAAGTACGCAAGTTTATTTACTTAATAATTGTAAAGCAATGGGTTTCCTCACTTTTCTTAAGTTAAGTCAAATGATCACTACCTTTCAGTGAACTCTTATTAAAAGAACCATTTTTTTCTTAGTGTGAAGAACATTTTATAATCTAAAGAACCTTTTTCCAGTATAAAGAACCTTTTGTGCTTGAAAAGGTTCCGTGGATGTTCAAGGTTCTTCATGAAACCATCGATGCAAATAAAGAACCTTTATTTTTACGAGTATACAACAAATCAATACAATCAAAATGTACACAGCAAAGAAAAGGGAAAAAAAAGAAAGAGTACCTGAATAGAATAGAAATGAATAGAAATAAAGGTTCTTTATTTGCATCGATGGTTTCACGAAGAACCTTGAACATCCATGGAACCTTTTCAATAGCACAAAATTATATATATAATGAAACAGAAACATATTAATTATAATAATATAATGAAACAGAAACATTGCAAATAAACAGTTTTTTTTTTACATTCACAGAAACTTTTCATTCTTAATAGTTGTATTGGCCATTTTTAAAAGTTTTGACAAAAAAATAGATTTTAATAAGAGTTTTAAACCACAGGCTGCTGTTTATATTTTTTCCTGATGGTCTCTTTATTACCAAAAGACTTTAACACAAAAGGGATTTAATTCATAAAAACGATGACATGTTTTTATTTAGACACTATGATTAAGTATTCCTAGTTCTCTTGACTTAAGTCGATTAACCCGACTTTAATATTAATCATCATATGTTGAAGAAATGTTTCACTGATGTGTGTTTATGTAGCGTAATGTGTGTGTGGTGTATGTTGACATAGAACAGTCAGGCTGGACCTTTATGTGACATACTGTATTATTAATGAAAGCTTTCAATGCATCATTATAAAGACTTCCATTTTGATATACTCCATTCAGAAGTTAAAATGTTCAGAAGTATTTGAATGAATTGAAGGTTGACTCAGTAATATTTTTGTCCTCGTTCTGTTGTCGTTGCAAATCTTGTAGATACAGAAGTTCTCAGTTCTTAAAGCCAGTGTAGAAAAGTTCGCTGTCATCTGACTAAATTATTCAACATGTTTGTGAAGAAAAGTCTCTTCTGCTCACCATTTATTTGGTCAAAAATACAGTAAAAACAGTAATGTTGTGAAATATTTTTAAAGTTTAAAATAGCTGTTTTCTATTTGAATATATTTTAAAATGTAATTTATTCCTGTGATTCAAAGTTGAATTTTCAGCATCATTACTCCAGTCTTCAGTGTCACACGATCCTTCAGAAATCATTCTAATATGCTGATTTGCTGCTCAAGAAAAACATTTCTGATTATTATCAATGTTGAAAACAGTTGTGCTGCTTAATATTTTTGTGTAAATCGTGATACATTTTTTGATGAATAGAAAGTTCAAAAGTACAGCATTTATTTGAAATCGATTTTTTTTGTAACAATGTAAAAGTCTTTACTGTATTTTTTGGTCAATTAATGTGTCATTGGTGAACAAAAGTATAATCATTTCTTTAAAAAAAAATGTTTTACTGACCTCAAACGAATCTCAAAACAGAGATAAAGTGAGTAGCATTCAGCTGTGATCGTTGTTTTACAGTTTACATTTTTTTAGTGAGGGAAAATTACTGAGTGCACCTTTAAATTTGACTTCGAAACATTGAGCACATGAATATAAAAGAGATAGTTCACCCAAAAGAAGATATTTTTGAAGAATGTCAGTAAGCAGACAGTTGACTGTAGCCATTGACTTCCATGATATGTTTTTTTTCCCTCCATACTATGAAAGTCAATGGGGTCCAGCAACTGTTTGATTACCCACATCTTCTTTTGTGTTCTGCAGAAGAAAGAAACTCATACAGGTTTGGAACAACTTGAGGGTGAATAAATGATGACAGAAAAGGGTGAACTATCCCTTTAAGTCGCTGAGAGAAACTGTGTTTTTCCCCGAGGTGTTCTAGTATGTGCTTTCCTGTATGTGATTTGTAGCTCACTTGAATGTCTTTAGCACATACAATAAGCACAGACACTGCTCTCATGCAGGTTTTCTCCTCTTGCTTCTGCTGCTGTTTTTTTAAATGTATGTTTTTAAGCTTTACTATACGGCATAATAAAACTATATTCAACCTAATGTCTGGTGATTCTGGACATGATTGTGTACAGTTTTGTTTCTTTTTTAAAGACTGAGGTAAAGTGTGCAATATTGGCGCCACTAGTGGCACCAAACGGAACTGCGAGACAGAATTGCTGATTGTCCCACCCCAAACTCACTTATACTGATACTATTCTATTACATAAACGGTTGAGCTAATCAGACAGATTTCTGCATGTTTTAGTATTGTAAAAGTGATTAAACAATAATAATCCAACTGATCAGTTCTAATTCTGGATAATTGAATTGATATATTCACCATCACTTTCTGTGTGGGAATCACGGGTAGCTACTTCACATGCACCGATGTGTCCACTTCATAACCCAGTGGGATTATGGGTAAATGTTAAGGTATTGACTGTTCTCTGACCTTCTGACTCTTTCGTCCTCTGTCATCCCCCTTTGTGTTTTGCCGATTTTCTCAGTGTTTCACCATATCCGTTTCCTTTCCCTGTATTTATATCGCATTGATCGTTTAAAAA